TGTGCCCTGGCACAGCGCCAACAACGGTTGTTACTGCGAATCCACATCCTGACCTGGTCTGAGGTAAGCTTATCGAAGGATGCACACTGGCTCAGGTAATGCTCAGTCTTATCACAGAAAGGACAATAACATTTCACTTTGGCAAGCTTGGTTTGTGAAACAGGACCTTTCCAATGGACGGGAGTCTCAACCGGGGATTCTCCAACTCCATGCAGAATGGTCACGGTTATTTTCCCTGAATCTGATTTAGCGTGTGAACCCTTGGACATCGGCTCAGTATCATAACTGTGGCACCAAGTTTCGTAACGATGCCAGTTTGAAAGTTCAACCAGATTAGGGGTTGTGCCAGGTTGGCGGAACATATGTTGACGAAACTCAGCTCGCTGCTCAGGGGGTAGCTTACTCAGGAGGCGTGCGACGTGGGACCCACAACTCAGCTCCAGCTCACCGTCATGTCCCAGGGTTCTCAATAAGCCCACTAGTGACTGCACCTGCAGAGCAAACCTCTGGAAGGCTGAGATATCACCTCGCTTTATGTCAGGACACTCAAGAACAATAGCAATCTTCCTTAAAGCTAGCTGATGTGGTTGGCCAAATTTTTCATGAAGCACTGACATCGTATCAGTGAAGGGAGTAGGTGAGTTAAGATAAGCATCCGCTATCATTCGAGCCTCCTCCAGCTTAAGGTGATCCACTAAGATCTGATATTTGAATAGTTCTGTCCCGTCTGGGGGAAGCAGGTTCTCCAGAGCTATCCGGAGCCGAGCAAACTCACCAGGATCAGGTCGGCAGAACTTAGGAATCGTAGGAGAAGGCCCCCTTTATACATATTCAGACCCAGAATAAGGTGCTACAGGACGTAGACCGGGCTCTGCCTTTGGTGCAAAGGCTGGAGGATTCGAATGAGAAGGTACCGAACTGAATCGCGGAGAAACAGGCAAGGTCGTGCGGTTAGCAGGTAAGGGCATGGCCGCAGATGTGAGGAACTCTCGAAGCTCTTTAGGGGTAGGAGGTGGGGGAAGCCCACAAGTGTCAGGAGCATAATGCTGAGGAGGGCGTGTTTCATTAGCCGGAAACACAAAGGAATACTTTCTAGTCTCTTAGCCGGAAACACAAAGGAATACTTTCTAGTCTCTGGTATCACCGGTTGGTAAACAGTGACACCCATGTCGGAGAGTGCAAGGTCACCCACCTGGTTCATCAAGTCAACGTCAGGCTCAGGCCATGGCGGTAAGGGAAGATCAGCAAAATTTTCATTCTCCGCTAAAGGTGTGGATTCATACCGCCTCACAGGAGGACTGGATAACTGCAACACCGGTGGCTGTGCAGGTGAGAGATTCTGACCTCTGGTTTCACTCGTTTGACTGGTTTGAAGGTCAGCTCGAAGGGACAGAGCAACTTGAACTAATTCTCTGACTTCCGAACGGACATCTCTCAGCTCCCTCAGGTCTGCCTGAAAAGCCTGATGAGTCTGCATTAATTGTGCATGCTCATGACGCAGGTGCTGTAGTTCACTGTCGTGTGCAGAGGAAATGAAACCAGCCGCTTGAGGCGAGGAGAAGGATGGCTGATGGAATTCAGCATGCTGTGGAGGCTGATAATTTGAGGACATCCGAGAGCCATCAGAACAGACCAGGTAACCACCAGGGGGAGTGGCGTAAGGCTGGAAGGATGGGGGGGGAGTCCGGTGGACAGGTGCCTCCCAGGGGTGTGGGACATCATACTCAGCGACAGGTCTGCCTCGGCTATACTGTTCTTCATACTGCTGTAGGTAAGCTGGAGGACGAGTATGGCGTTTAGGACGAACACCAGCAATAATCTCCTCATCAGGATCCATCATGTCAGAAGGGAATACTCATCCGGCTCGAAGGACCAATTTGTTATAGAGACTTTGGGACTGTTAGGTTCTGATCAGGTAATGGATGAGTAAACCCCCCTGGGTGCCGGTCAGAGCACCAATAATGAAGAGACAGGTGATTAGCTTTCTATGGTGTATTAGTAGAGAAAAGGAAGGGCCACAGAGGTACAATCAAAGGTGTAGATAGTCTGCAAAATAAGTACAAAAAAGAAATTAATAGGCTAAAGATATAGATAAACAATAGTAATATTTACGGTTACATAATGAAACCAAAGCATTCATAATTCACATAATTGGCATTTCTCTACTGAACATACAGTTAAATGAAGAGAAACAAGGTATTTCACAGAAAACTACAAGTCATGAGTGATCATTTGTCCCTATGAACAAAGTTCCCATATATGGATAGAATCATGGCGCATCGGAGTAACATTTGCATAAACAGAACGCTAATCACTCTTTTGGTATTGTAGCAGCTTAACAGAACAACATCACGTTGTTAAGACATCATGAATGAATGAATAATTACCCGTTAAGTAATATTCCCGATCTGAATACTACAGAACGATCGTTACAGGACATGTCTGGGCATGTTCATATGGTACAAACGCATATAACCCTTGCATTAATAGCGATCTGTAGTGATCACTGTAAACACAAATATAAATAAAATAGACTTACTTTGTTGTCAGTGACTCTCACATTGATATTAAATCTGCAAAAATCCCCACGAACAAAGTGAAAGTATCATCCTTGCAGCTGACGGCTCGGACAGATCACAGCAAACACAGCAAACAGCGGCAGCTCATCAAACTACACTGCCCTCTACCAAAGTACTATTATGACTCCAGTTTCATAATAAAGGTCCCTCTTACAGGAGCCTTTAATACAGTGACATACACAAAGATAATGACTCATAACTCGAAGACTGTAGCAAGGAGAGTCAAAAGGTTGGTATCGTTTGATAGAAAAGTTTCTGTACTTTCAGCTGGAAAAATATTATTTCATTTGGACATTCTCCTGCTGATAAATAGCTAATAAAAATGTAAGAAAAAGTTGAGTGCTCAAGATAAATTTTCATATCTGTCTTATTTGACATTCAATATCTCAGGACAGAAAATTATTTTTTATTTATTTGTTTTTGTGGTGATAGGATAAAGTATCCAAAAGTTACAGTATTTTGTAACAAAACAGGCCTTTTTGTTTAGCTCTTGACTCCCTGAAGGAATTTTAAAAACTGTTGTTTTCTGAGTGCCATACACATTTTTTGGTGATGTTCCCCAACATGTGTGCTGTATGTGAATTAAATTCTGTGGTGATATCATGAAGTAATCAAAAGTTACAGCATTTGGAACCAAGGTAGCCCTTCTCTTAGCCCTTTACAGTTTTGAAACGGTTGTTTTGAATTTGAAGTAATGCCTCACTCAAGTTTAGTCAAAGCCCCAAAAAATTATACTTGTTTTATTCTACTCGATGATACCTTTCAAATGACATATGACTATCTGAGCTGTATGGAAAAAAAATCTTTGCATTTGAATATTGCAAGTTGAGAAATAGGCGATAAAATGTGAGAAAAATTAGTGTGGTCAAGGGAAATTCTTGACCACACTCTCAAATTCTGACATATTAGAGTACATGGCACAAAAAATTTTTTTTTCTATTTATCCGCAAATAACTCAGCACTACTTAGGAGTTAATCAAAGTGGCCACATGCATCGTAAAAGTTAGACTCCAAACTTTCAAATGACACCTATTTTGTGTTGATTAAGGCAGATATTTAAAAAAATATGATAATTTTTCTTTTCTTCTCTAGGGGGCGTCCTAATGAAGAAAAATAATGTGTTAAACTTCTGTAATTTGATAGAGAATCTTACATTTGCTTAAAACCCCTAGCTCCCTCCCTGGGTGCCGGTCAGAGTTATGTTAAATATATATTGTTTAATAATAATAATAATAATAATAATAATAATAATAAAATATTTACAAATTAAGACATTTACTGCCACCTTTTCGCAGTTTTAGTTTTTTTTAATTTAGGGTATCCAAAAAAAAAAAAAAAAAAAAAAACTAACTAATTTAATAATGGCCACAATGATGGCTTTAACCCTCAAAAATCAAGCGTTCATCATTATGGTATGAGACTTTTGTCTCACTTGACTTTTGACTTTTTTTTTTTGCAATTTTTTTTTAGGATACAAAATCTTACACAATCCAGAAAAGATTTATATCCAGACGAAGGGCTGAGCCTAGAGAATATTTCCAAGCCAGAAAACCATCACATATCCCCACCTACATGCACGCGCATGCACACACACACACTGTACATGTAACGCACACTCACACAGAGACCCATTATAATATTAACGATTACGAAAAATTACATTAAATTAAATTTAAATCACCAAAAAGTATTAAAAAAACCTACATAAATATTAAGAGAAAAATATATAAAAATGGATAAAGATAAACTTTCTGGACCAAAAAAATGTATACATTTAATTTTCACCCTCCGTGTCATTTTGACCTGGAAGGAGAGGATATGTTATACTCCCAGGAGGAGAGAATATGCGTTAATAAACATGCGTCTTTAAAGGGGTGATGAACTGAGAAACCAAAATTGCGTTGATCTTTTAACATATAAGAGGTCATTGTACTATAAAAACATCCTGTAAGTTTCAGGACTCAAAACTTTGTTGTTACTCTAAAAACACCTTATATTGAAGGCAGTCTGCCAAAAGGACAGCTTTTGGAATGTGAGTTTTTATTACGTGATCACTATTGCTTTGTAAGTAAGTACATTTTATTGATATAGCACATTTAAACATAGCAAAGCTATCCAAAGTGCTTAACAATGTAAAATAAATTTAAAAGAGAAAAAAAACAGAAAAGAACCAAACAAGACAGACAATAAAGTGAAATTAAACTGCTAAGGAGAAAAGATAAGTTTTTAACCTTGATTTAAAAATGGTAATGGAAGGTGCAAGGCGGCAGTCTAGAGGCAATTGGTTCCACAGACGGGGGCAGTGACAGAAAAAGCTCCCTCACCCTTAGTTTTCAAATGGGAACGAGGGACAGATAAAAGAGCTCTGTCAGCGGATCTTAAAAGTCTGTCTAACAGATAATTTGATATGTACTGAATATTTATGTGTTTTAACCTAAATTACAGCAGTGTCCATCCGTGAAGGATGTAGACTGTCAAGCATACACAAGCCAAGTGGACGTTTAGCTACTTCCGAGTCTACAATCCTCCACACCTATTCAAACAGAGCGTTTAAAAGAGGGGGGTCAAAAACAGGACATAAAATAGTCTATTACTTTTAGCCTATTAATTGTTTTGTTTTTTGATGTAAAAATCTTTATAACATCATAAGTGGACCTCAAGGCCGGGACACACCAACGTCGGCCGACGGCGAGCGACGGTCGGCTGTTTGCCCGATATAACATGTTGAATCGGTGTCGGGGCCGTCGGCGTGAGTGAGAGCTCTGATTGGATGTTCAGTTTAGCGAACGAGTCCGTGCCCGTAAAGCGAAAGTGATGAAAACAAGCATGTAAATGAAGGCGGTACAGACAGAAGGCTGTTTAAATGTTATGTGATCTTTTCCAATCATTCTAATATGCGGATGTTTTCATAACAAGATGAGCCGCTTAAAATGATTAAAGTTTTCAACCTTACTGATATTCAAAATGGCAAGCAAGCGTCTCTTTGTTTACATTTCGTATATCTGTGTTTATCTCGTGTATCTTTGTTTTGGTATCTCCTTTTGAATGACGAATATATACTATTAATAGCTGCTGATGTGGACAGCTCGTTCCTCTCACGCATGCGCAGAACACACATGTTAGTTCTGTGCGGTGTGTTCGAGCGCAGCTTTTTGGTCCGACGCTGCCAACACGAGGCGACAACACCGTCGGCTTTCGTCGCCGTTAGTTTTTTTTAAGTCGGCTTGGTGTGTCCTGGCCTTCAGAGAACAGTACAAAATAAAAAACAGAGGCAGTTCATGACCCCTTTAAAAAAAGAACACGGACATAATCTTCAAATTTAATGATTATTAATTTGTATATTACATTTCATACAATACATTGCCATTAAAAAAACTTGTTTGTGCCTTTATGCACATTAGGGCTGTGTTTACTTTGCATTTACACTTTTGATCAGCAAGTGTTGCTAGCACATAGTGTTAGCGTGTTTTGAAACTGTGATTCATTTTGCAAAGCAATTGGTTAATTTGATAAAGAGTTTTGAAAAGCTTTTCTCATATCACTACCTGCAGCTTTAAAGTGTGAGCAGGGGCGGATTTAGTGATTTGGGGGCCCCAGGCAAAATACAGGAATGGGGTCCTATACAATTTCACACATTTACAACCTTGAGGTTGCTTTCACTGTTGCTCGCTGCTGCACAACCGTGTCCCATAGTTGTGTCTAATCTTTTAGATTTTTCATGTACATGTTATAAATAAAGGATTTCTTTAATGTTGTAAATCCCTTGTTCACATTTAAACAGGTTATAATAGTATTAGAGTAGGTTGGACACTAGGTGGTGCGTTGGGGTAATTTTCACTATGCAATTGTCTACACAACGCAAGGCTGTCTAATTCTAAACTTTAAAATATACATTTATTTTTTATTTATTTTAATTGCACATTTAAATTAAACTGAAGGAAATTATAAATTTACATGCTTAAGGATTATTTCAACCAAACATGAAGTGTGCCTGTGTGGAAAGTGTACATGGTCCTTCTTGGGTCTTTCACAAAAACGAGTGAGTGCCTTTTAAAAAAATTTAAATAGGCCCTATATAATATGCACTGTTGCTTAGTATTAAAATTATAGCTTCAGATGCATGATATCTGTAGGGCCCTATGAAATCCGTTTTATTTTTCCCAAATTAGCCTAAGTTTAATTTTTTCGTTGTAATTTTTTTGTATTCAGTTTTTTTTTTCGTTGTAATTTTTCTGGATGATTATATTAAATTAACAAAAAACATGTATAATTAATTAAAATCATGAAACTTGTTTAATTTAACAGCAGTTTAGGCCTATTAAAAGTTTAACAAAAATTACATTCTTAGGGCCCAAATTCTGCGCTTTCCATTTTAATTTTTCTGTATTCCATTTGAATGGTTTAATCAAAAACATATCTAATTAATTGAATTCATGAAAACAACTTAATTTATTAATTTGTGTACAATAATAGGGCCCTATGAAATTTTATAGAAATTATTAGAAATTCTGTGTTGTGTATTTTCATTTTTCTGGTAATCAAATGAAGGCAAAAACATGAATCTATCTTTTATTCCAATGAAAATTAAACAAACCCTTTAATTTTGTACATTCAAAATGCTACACAACAGAAGTTTACTGTGTAACCAGCAATGTCACGGAATTTGTCAAATATTGAATGAATAAATCAAATCAGTTACATTTTCAGTACACTGCAATTCAGTACACTTCAATCAAACCGCGATATGGACTAGTGCATGTGAATATTAAATGGCAAAAATACTATTTTGCTACTACAGACAACCGCGAGCGTTGCGCGTGCAATAGCAAACGAAACGCGCGTCTGCGCCGTTCATTCCGTCACATTCCGCGTTACACAGTAAATTCCGTTTTTATGAATAGATTCCGGGATTCTGTCCCCATTTTCTACATCGCCCTACTTTTGCTAAGAAGCACGTTCAACGCGGACGCACAGACGGTTGTCGTGCTAATGAACACCACAACCACCACTTGAACGTTGAACGTGCATCTCGCATATAAAAAATTTTTTTAGGGGGCCCTTGGCTTTTGGGGGCCCAAGGCAGTCGCCTACCTTTGCCTAGTGGTTAAGTCTGCCTTTGAGTGTGAGTTATGAGGACCAGCTAAGAGGTCCCAGCGTGATGTAGGCCTATTGATCTTCTAATGGTCAAATGTCCATAGGTCAGAGTTAACTTAATTTGAACTTTGCACAGTACAAAAGCAAAACTTTTTTGCATGAGCTTGTGTTTATGGGTTTAACCAGGGCTGGACTGGGACAAAAAATCGGCCCTGGCAATTTTTGGTCCAGGCGGCCCACCACCACTATATATACAGTGGGTACGTACCAGTCAAAAGCTTTTGAACAGTAAGATTTTTAATGCTTTTTAAAGATGTCTCCTCTGCTCACCAAGCCTGCATTTATTTGGTCCAAAATACAGCAAAAGCAGTAATATTGTGAAATATTTTTACCATTTAAAATAACTGTTTTCTATTTGAATATATTTTAAAATGTAATTTATTCTGCGATTTCAAAGCTGAATTTTTAGCATCAAGTCACATGATCCTTCAGAAATCCTTAAAATATTCTGATTTGCTGCTCAAAAAACATTTATTATTATGTTGAAAACAGCTGAGTAGAATTGTTTCAGGTTTCTTTGATGAATAGAAAGTTCAGAAGAACAGCATTTATCTGAAATATAATTTTTTTGTAACATTATAAATGTCTTTATCGTCCCTTTTGATCAATTTAAAGCATCCTTGCTAAATAAAAGTATTAATTTCTATCATTTCCCAATGAAAAAAAATATACTGACTCCAAGCTTTTGAATGGTATATGTAGCCTATAATGTTACAAAAGCTTTTTATTTCAGATAAATGCTGATCTTTGGATCTTTTTTATTGGAGCTTTCTTACTGTTCAAAAAAATGTTGACTGGTAGTGTATGTATGTATGTGTCACACTCAGGGGCGTCATGCACTCATGATTTTTGAGGGGGCACGAGTGAGAGGGGTGGGGGCTCGTCATGCTTGTCATGTGACACAGCAGCCACAATAGCACTGTATAACTAATATAGGCTTATGTTTTATCACATTTTTGTCCTTTTTATTCGAAGTATTTCCAAACGTGTATCAG